CACTATGTTATTAGAAGGACAGTTGTAAACAAAAACAGAATCATGAATTCAAAAGAGTTTACTAATAACAACAAAACGACGGAAATGATCTAGAAATAAGAATCAGTTAAACTCGGCAGTAGCGGATGTCAATTGTTCCGAATCGGGCACAAGCGGGTGTTAATTTCAGGCATTAACACCCGTTGTTAATGTTATCACATGTTGCTATGGATGGGCGCGGCGTATAAAAATATAGTGACAATTAACAAATACCGCGTGTCAAATGATATGAATGGAAAATATAAGAAATTTGCATAAAATAGAATAAAGATTCTTACATTGGTAAAAGTGTATATCGGATTCATCCAATCGAGATAGATAAATGATCGAATGTTAAAGTCCTAGCCTCGGTAATTAATTATTTAACTATCGAGATTGGATACAGCCGATAATCAAGAATCTGTTTCTCTAATTATTATCAAATAAATGTTTCCTTTCTGATAAACGAAAATCTCCTTCGAGTGCCTTTGCACATCCCACACAGTTGTCAATTTCATTAACACCAGTTAACACATTTGCATTCATCTAGTGAGCTGATAAACACACCTAATTATCTTCTGAGATCATCGACAACCACACGTTGATTATCTTTTTGTATACAATGGGTCCGGAAAGGGTTTAAATTGCAACAGAATAAGAGAAATATCTACAAACACCCACTGTTTTATATATCAAATGCAATATCGGTTATTACATTCATATATGTATTGTACTAACCACTTTACCATCACGCTAAACTACAAGACATAAAAATGAAATAATTATAATAATTCTTCTTATTTTTAAATGTTGTATTAAGTGAAGCATCTATACATATCATTGATGTTAGTTACTTCTCAGTTTTTTTTTTTTTTTTTGGGGGGGGGGGGGGGAGGGGTGTGGGGAATGGGGCGGTGGCGGTGGGGGTGGTGCTAGGGGGAGAAATGTTGCTCTTTTTGAACATGACACTTCATCTATGATCTAAACATTGATGTAGCGTTTTCGTCAATTGGACACTAAAGCGTGTTTTTACGTTAAATATGTTGTTTATAAGTTTCATGTGAATATCCCAAAACCAAAACCACACTAAAAAGACTTTTCTTTTTATTAAAGTAGGTTGTATCTTATAAATACAAGGCAAATACCTGGTCTCTTTTTTTTTGAGTCTGATCTACACTGTAAACGATTTCTCTGAAGAAAAAAACAAAACATAGATCAATATATTAATATATACCACTTTGCCTCATAATCTTATCAAGAAATAATTAACACACCTAATTTAATGGGCATTCAAAATGAAAAAGTCAGAATGCGAATATATATGTTCAAACACTTGCAGGTGATGTTTTAGTAACAAAAAAACAAACGTCAATTTGACCTGCTTTGATACCATAACTGCCCTTGAATGTTTACTATATAACATTTTTGTTCGCTATGGAGATTCCGTATATCGTCAAATTATCGGAATTCCAATGTAGTATAATTGTGCACCACTTATTGCGGACCTGTTTCTGTATTGTTATGAGTAACAACTTATGATTCAAATCAGGAAAGACCCATCGAACCAACATCTAATACAATTAAATAACATTTTTAGATATGATAATGACGAATTCAGTATGTACACTAAAGAGACTTATCCTGCTAAACTGAATTAACATAAAGCTAATATTAAACAATGCACGCTATCCTTTCCTAGATCTTGATATCTTTATCTTTAATTAGAAGCTAAATACCAAAATGATTAAAGAGATGATTTTTCATTTCCAATTGTTTATCTTTCATTTTAGATGGAGACGTTCTCTTGTCACCATCGTATGGTGTTTATATATTTCAACTCGTTCGATTAGCCCGTGTGTGTAAAGACGTAAATGATTTTAACGAAAGAAATCTATGTATTAGTGAAAAGTTATAAAACCAGGGTTTTCGTTAACTTGAAATTGATTCACTCATAGGGTTTTTGCATCGGAAATAAACACATTTATTCTAAAAACAGTTGTTGGCATGGTACGGGTTATGTTCCATCCATTTTATGATGACATGATACTAAACCTCTAACGGGAAGAATTGTGCTTGATTATCATATGATGAAAACATAATCTTTCAATCAGTTTAATTGAGGTCTGTATCATTGTCATTTTATTTAGTTTCTTTTGTTACCTATTGTGACATCGGACTCGGACTTCTTTTAAACTGAATTTTATTATACGTATCGCTGTGTGTTTGTTTATTCTACATTAGCTAGAGATATAGGGGGAGTGTTGAGATCTCACAAAACATTATTAACCCAAGTCAGGAGCCTTTGGCCTTTGTTAATCTTGTATGTTTTTTATAATTTTAGTAAGTTTTTGAGTTTATTGTGACGTCTATTTTCACTGAACTACTACACATGTTTGTTTAGGGGCCAGCTGAAGCCCGCCTCTCGCTGAATTGAAGAATCATTGTGGCCTTTGGCTGTATTATGCTTCGGTAGGGTTGTTGACAGATTCTCCATTTCCATTTTCAATTCTATCAAACAAATACTAATCAATACTTATACTGCTCCTCGTACTATAGTTACATAAGTTCATGGAGAACAAATTATGATGTATTTATCTTTAGCAATAATTGAATTTTGCCAAACTTAAAACCAATAGATGCATAACAAAAAAAATTCTAGTCTACTGCGTGTATGTTTCTTTTGCTGTGCTTGTGTGTACCTCAATTGTACCTATACAGAGTATGTATTGTACTGGCGACTGTTAACTTGTTCACCTAAAGTGAACTGTGTACAGTGTTTGCATTCTGTAAGTGGTCCTTTCATAAACCCTGTGCATCGATCGTGTTAACCGTGTTTGTTTTTACCATGTATGTTAGCATACACATTTACCGTGTACTGTGTCAGGTACACATTTTATGTGCCGTTTACACGACTGTTGTACCCCTATTTTGACATTTTTACCTATTATGTCTGTTTGATTTGTACACAAACAGTTGTTAATATAATAGAATTTTATGAGACTGGCATACAGGTGAGAGGTTTAGCTAGCTATTAAACCAGGTAAATCCACCATTTTCTATATAAGAAAATGCCTGTACCAAGTTAGGAATATGACAGTTGTTATCTATTTGTTTGATGAGTTTGAGCTTTTGATTTTGCCATTTTGATTAGGGACTTTCCGTTTTGAAACTTCCTTGGAGTTCGGTATTTTTGTTATTTTACTGTTTACAGAGTTTGCCAGTGTTATGTGGTGGGTTAAAATCCATGTGCACCTTGCATATAGCATGTACAGCTTGTTTATTCTTTGATATGCTCATGTTCATTTTCAAACTTGTGCTTTCAACATGGGAAAATTGATTTGCGTTGCATTGGCGACATTTTCTCGACTTATGAGTTGAATATCCCTTTGATATATTTCGCCACTTTTTCTCGTAAGCGCCGATTAATTTCCGTATGTATTAACCCGTAAATTAAAGGAAATTGTGTGATCACACACATTAAACTTAAATGTAAGAAGAATAAAGTAAGTAAATTAGTTTTTCTGAAACATTGACATCTTGTTTTTGAAATATTTGAATAAGATTATTTTACTGGCTGTCGATTTCCTTATAAAATGAAAAAAAAAAAAACATGATTACACTTTTTTTGTGAGATAGTTTTAGAAATTATTGGGAACAGTATAATTTAGAATTTTTCATCGATGTGCGCTTTTGTTTCTGTTCAAAACGAATCCTAGTGTGTATCTATGTGCATCTGATATATGTGCTTTGCAGTTGCATTTCCGTAAGACTGTATTCAATCTGATTAAAATATTGATCATGTTTCCACGCTAAGCTTAACAAGATTCGACACTGCTACATTTTAAGTTCTTTCGGGTTTTGGTCGAATTGATACACACCGTGCCAAATTTGAAGTCAACTTTTATATTGGCTGTAGCAGTTTTATTAAGAAGAGAAAGCAGGACAAAGTGATGTTAGATTCTTCAAACAAAGCATGGACACAAAATATGTTCAATTATTTAATCAGATTGGTGTGTAGCATGCGTGTAACTACCTGTTTGTGTGTAAATGACTTGTGTTCAAGCTGATTTTATTGTACATGTGTGTTGTGTGTCCCGTTTTAATCATTTAAAATGAAATGCATGTACACATAATGGTTTTGTGACGATAGGAAAAGAATGTCAAATGTAATATAAAGAATATATGCAGTATACTATTTCTGTATTATAACGAACCAGTTTATCTTATAACAACAACCAATCAGTGCTTAAGAAATTAGTCTCAAGTCTGGCAAATAAGTGAAAACAAACTATTGACATGACAAAACTTGTCTACAGTTAATAACTTACCGGAATGATATGTCTCCAAAAAGATTGATAATTTCTCGTTCGGATACATTCTTTTTGTTATATTTTACTGTCGGCATGACTGGTGGTTGCTTTTCACATACACCATCTAACTCGGATTTTAAACGTTTCAACTGTGCCAGAACTTTAGTAGCATCAACAATTGTCTGGCCATCAGTAAAGGCAGTCTGACATTTCTGGAACTTTTCTAAATCCTTTTGAAAATCAGTTCTAATTGAATGTAAGGCCTGCAGGTTTGTTGACCCTTTGTCTTCCAATGATGTTATAAGGGATTGTACTTTTTTATCAACCCACTGCTTCATCTGTTTCCCATCTTCTTTAATGACACGAATAGCTTCTTTTATGTCGCTCTGGTACTTTCTAGTGCCTTGTTCAATTTTATCTAGATTTGTTTTGACGGATTCAATCTTCGAGTCAATGACCCTTTTCACTTCTGCCTTTAATTCCTGTGTCGATTCGTTGATTTCAGACATGTTATGCTTTTTATGTTTTTTGACGCTGCACATTTTGCATATTGGCATGTCACATTCAGTGCAGTAAAATATGAAGTTTTCGTCGTGTTCTTTGCAAAACGGTTTTTCTTCCGGATTAATATTTGACCCACTAAGAAAGGTATGATTTCTACACATTTTTGACCTTAAATGTAAAGTTTTACAATTTTCACACATCCATTGATCGCATTGTTTACAATAGTTACGCCCTGGTCCACTCATACAGATGTCGCAGGACTTCGAAGCGGATTGTGCCATTTTGGTTGTTTTTCTTTAAGTCACCTTGACACAGGTTGAGTCATATTAATAATCGACATCGAACATGTAAAAGAGGAAGTTACGGAAATTGCTAACATATCTCGATTTTTCAAACTTTTAAGGCACATGATTACAAGGACATGTATCGATGAAAATGTTTATGTTTAACTTAAATCGGATTCAAAATACAAAATGTGAAAGCAAGTTTGTAACGTGTTTGTTTACTTTTAAATGTGTACTATCTATAAATATTTAAATGTCAATACAGAAGTTCGACGTACACAGTATATCACCTACATGTATATCAATATTCAGTTAAAGCAGGTACAATATTTAAATGTCCTTACCTGAGTTCCGAAGTACACTGTATCTCATTATAAATAATATCCAATTCAAGGTGATAACATATTGGCTTAGAGTGATAACTAAGACACAAATATCACCAATTCTGCAAAACTGCAAGTTAGATGTTATCCTTTTTCCAGTAAAAATATTTGTATATGTGCCGAACTTAGCTATACATATACGTTTAACAGTACGAATTCTCATTTGTTGATTTTCGTATACAAGTGAGTTATTCTAATCGTTTCTTACATTTATCTTTCGTGAATAATTATATGTTTGTCTCCTTCCTATCTAGAGTATTGACCCAAAGCATTTGTTTTATAATTATTTTTTCAATCTAATTTTTGTTATTCAGTGTAGAGTAATTGTTTAATAATGGTTTCACATATGGGTATTCATTGAAGAAACTGAAACATTGATCATAACACAGTTGCATCCTAAAAGTTCTCATGGTGAAAATAGTATCTGATACTTACCAATATATATATTGCTACAATATCTATATTCATATATGTATACATTGTACTTGTTAGTTGTTTTCAAACTTAAAAAATGAAAACTAATGCTGATATGCGTTTTTCCGCCATTATAGATAAACAAAATATGACTATATTATTGGTGTGTTATGTTAATTTTTGTAAACCTATTTAGATAGGATGTTACACCAAGATTTTCGTTATTCAAATACTAATACAATGATAGTAACAAGTTGATCTCTCTCTGGTATAAGACTGCAATATTACTATATACAACGCAGGTATAAGAGAAAGGTTCAGATTGTTAAAATCATTAAAGAATATTTTACCTATAGGTGTTTGTTCCAGACCTGGGGTAATTAAAAATGTAATTGTAAATAATTACAATTTTGAAAGTAATTTAATGTAACGTTTAATTGAGCATATTATCAATTACATGTAATTGGGTGTAATGAATTACATTGACTTTTGCCATGTAACTATGAATTACTTCTCAATTACTTTGAATTACATTTAAATAATTGCTGGGAAATTTGAAACATTCTTGGCTTTTCTGATGCAACTTGTAAATTTTCCCATAAAAATAAGAAATGCAATAAAAAAATCAGCATTGAAAATTTAATGGTGATTAAAGAAAGAATGACCTTAGAAATTTGAAAACTTTTTTTTTAAAAACAAATCTTGTACAAATGTTTTTACTGTTAAAAAGTGCATGTATATATATATATATATGTTTCGTTTTATTCTAGCCTGATTTCATTTTTATGATTTTATTCTTAATGATATAGCTCTTGTATGTCTTTGGACAAAAGTAATTGAAATGTAATTAATTACATTGGCAATGCAATTCTAATGTAAGTAATTACGTTTGAAAATCGATGTTATTATGATTTAATTAATTACATTTCAAAAACAGTGTAATTGAAATGTAATTAATTACTTTGGCATGTAATTGACCCCAGGTCTGGTTTGTTCAGAGTCTTTTCTTCGACCATGACAATATCATCGGGAGAAAGTCAGAGTACCCAGCAAGAACAAACAAATGCGACAAGAACATTTCGAATTGAGAACAATACCCATCCATTAGAAAATAATGATCCTGTTTGTGCTTTGTAGCGGAAAAGATGAACTATTTTAGTTTCAGCTATAATTGTAAAAATTAAAAAAAAAAAATTGGACGTGTCGGTATCTCAACTAAATACCCAAATGTTATCGCGGTCTAAGAACTCTATAAACCAGTGAAGTCGTCTAATCAGTAATTTAACCGAGTGTGTCCTATTCCCGATTGTGATTACTTTACAGAGTGTTTGTTTACCTTGAAGGAAAACGCTTACGAATAATGAAACGCTTACTACTATGTCGGTGCAGAAAGATTTAGATCCTTTTGTAATTCATGGGATTCTCTCAGTTTCTGTTTGTTACCTTGATTTTTCTCTTCATAACCAATTTACGACCGTCATTTAAAATGTAGTGATTCATAATTCTGAATTGACGTTTTGATTTGTTCACTACTAGTAGATTTTAGAGAAAAAAGGAAAAACAAACACACTTATTCATGACATCAGCTGTAATGTGTTGTTCATACGTGGTTGAGATTACCGGTAGAGGAGGAGAAAGAGCAAAACACTTAATGATTGACAATATGTTTTATAGACAGGGATATCAAATTGACCATTTTAGTAATGAAACTTTTTTAAATTATTCATCATATTCTTCAGGTATAGCGATGCTCGAGTATAAACTATGTAAATATGCAAAGCCTAAAACAATCGTTGAACACCGTAAATTGGGTTATTTTAGTTTATTAAGCTCTATGATTATACTTTACAAAAATAGACTCGGGCATCACTGACGAAACATCAGTTGTCAAAATACGCATCAGATCCGTGAAATTGGTACTACCACTGGTCGATGTCTCTGTTGGTCAACGATTATATCACCAGTCCAGCAGCCAGTACGTCGCTTCTTGTATAAAATACATATATTGTTTTTATGAAGTTTGCTTTTGAAAGTTTTTGAAAACATTTAAATTGAAGGTAATATCTCCCTTGTGATTAGTTTGTTTGATTAGTTTTTGGGGTCATTTCGAGACCTTTAATAGTTTACTTTACGGTATTGTTTTGCTCATTGTAAAATACCATACGGTGACCTATAGTTGTAAGTTGTCTCAAGTGGAGATTTATCTCATTGGCAATCATACCACATCTTCTTATTTCTAAAAAGCTTTGTCCGGGTTTGACTTTCATTTTCCGTCCTTTGTATAAATTACCGTATATTGGCAAACTTTGGCGTTGGAATATTTTGGGGGTTTCCTCTCAAAAGGCATTTACTTCATTTTTGTGTGTGTAATTTTAGTGCTTCGTGCAGTTGATGTGTTTAATGGTTGCACAATAGTAGTGAGCAAGCTCATTTATAACTGCCTTTATTTACCCGTTTATTGACAAAATATCCGAGGTATGTGGTACATGTATGTACCGCAGAAGCAGTAATAAAAATAGAAGTAAGGTAAGTTCAATTTTTGTATTTTCAAAGTATTTTCTGCGTTTTGCTGACAAGTAAAGTTGTACGGATGTTTTTGCAAATACATAAAAAAAATATTTTTATTATTTTTTTTGATAAATTATTAATGTATAACAAATATCAAATGAAATAAATTGTTATCAATATTTTTCAGTACATGTTTATATATTGACGAACAAGGATTTTGTATTGAAATATGCGCCAATAAAATGTCCAAAAATTATCCGTATTTTCTTGTCAGGAACGAAGTTATGTTACACGACTTATGATATACAGGGGACAAACAGTTTACCAGCAGAGGTATTCACCAAGTGCTAGCAAAAACATGGTAGCTAAAATTGAAGCTGTAATGTTTTAGAACTGGTTAATCCCGCATCTTTTTTCCCAATGTGACGTCCCGAATTAGAATTATTACCAGATGTGTTCTTACATGTTCAACACGAGGTTCATGTTGCTCAGTGTTTATTTTTCTAAGTTGTGAGTTGCGTGCTTTTCATTGTCACTTGTTGATCGTTTTTACCTCAGTCTGTAATCCCTCTGTAACATTGTCCGATTGTTTGATATCAGACATATCTTGCTATTTGTGATTTTTGATGATACATAGCATAGTTCACATATCGCGTTGTCTGCAGAATGATTTGTCCTCCGATTTGATATTCGGTCTGCTGGAAATGATATGATTTTTACTTCTGTTAGATCGTAAATGAAAAGATTTAAAATTATTACAAAGCAACTGCTCGCATTGTACACGGCAGTTTTGAGCTGGTCCACTCATGCAAATGTCACTGGACATCGAAGGGGATTTAGCTATTATCGGGAGTTTTCTATGAAGTAACCTGAAGACATGTAGTTCTAATAAATGAACACTATTGGAAAGGTGAAAGTATGAAAAAACGGAATACGGAATCATCTAAATCTGAAATGCTATCTAATTTACACTTATCAAATACGCATGGTTATGGTAGTTTTTAAGTTGTGAATTCGAGCATTAATCAATTTTCAATGATTTTTTTATAACGTGATCAAATTATTCTATGCATCTGTAAGTAACATCTATTCAAATGCCAGTACTTGAGTTTAAGAATTAATCTTATATTGCATTTTTTTATTAACCCGAATAATTCAGTCGTTATATTCCGCTGAATTACGATTGCTTCATTAACGTCTAAATGCATAGACAGTGAAAAATCGTTAAACAGTCATTCAGAGTAAGCACGAGAATTACCTATCTCGATAAATAGAATTGACTGCTGATTGGTCACTTCTCCTAAAAGGCACTAATCAAAATCCAGGATCCGTGAAAAGTTTGTAGTTTTTGCAAGTAGGAGTGATCGATCACGGGGAGGGACTGAATTAATCGAGTTATGTGTATTAAGACAAAGTAGATAACATATTGTTTCAATCATAATTTGCATGTGTATTTTACTGTTATACCGAGTGTGCATTTGCATTGCTATACGGCGTGTCTCGATATTTTGTACATCCAACATTTATGTATTTACCTTTGATGTTTCTGTTATGGTTTCGGTTGGATAATGTGTTATGTCTTAACGTTTGTAGTCCAAATATTTATAAAATTGTCTTTCAATACCATCATTGTCATGAAAATTGTTTGGACGAGTATTATGAAAATTATGGTGTAAAGTTCGAGATTGCATGTTAGTTACGTAAGCGCGTCACTGTTTCAGATATCCTGTGGTGTCTGTCGTTGATGGAATATGTTCGTTTTTGCTCTGCGGTTTACATGTTGTGTCGACTATTATATAATTTGTTTGTGCTGTATCTCTGTGTTGAAAGTTCTTGCGTGAGTTTGTGCTGTATTTCTGTCGAGTAGTGTTGTCATGTTAGCGATATTTTTTAACATTGGCATATAGCAGGTGGTTTGGCTAGCCATCAAACCAGGTTCAACCCACCATTTTTT